CTGGGCATGAGGAAGGAGTTCAGCTTTATTGTTAATAAAGCTCCAGGTTCATCCCATCATGGATTTCATAGTTGCCCAGAGAAATGTGGTCCTTAAAGATCGTGTACCACTTCAACACAATCTTGTTCCAACGGGTCCCCGTCTGGGTGGCGATCAGCTTCTTCAGGTCCCCAATGGTGTCATTGGTGTTGCACTTCACTCGGACCTTCTTCCCCAGACGGTCGTTGCAAACCACCTCGATCATCCTGTCCGGAGCCACACAGGGCGGGGGTTGGGGGCAGCAGAGTCAGCACGTTAAGGACCCCCCACCCCCCAAGACCTCAGCTTGAAACTTAGGCTCACTTCCCACCCCCTCTGACCCGAGTCCTCCGGGGCCCCAAGTTCCACGTCCCGGGACCGCGCCGGCCCCCTCAGGCCCTTGGTCCGTCGATGGCCGGACCCCGTCACCTTTCTCCAACTCGGGGCCGCCCCACCCGACCCCTCACCTCGAATCGCCTGGAACCAGCCGACGCCACAACCTCGTCGCTCGACAGCGGAGCGGGGGCCGGAGCCTGCGCTGGGAACCGGAAGCGGAAGTGCGCAGCCTGCAGCGCCCGCCCCTTCCTCTGGGCTTAGTAACCCCGGTGGCGTGCAGTGCGGGCCTCTGGCGCGGCTTAGGGGCTCCGGACCCGGCAGGGGCACGCTTGCGGTCGGTGCGCGGACCCAGTGGGGGTCCCGCCCCATGGAGGGGGAGTCAGAGGTCAGGGGCCGGGGCCCAGCTCGTTGGTTGAGGGCGCCATTCGCTGTGGGGAGACACCGTCAGTTGTTGAGGACGCTTTAGGGGCCCGGGTGACAGCGGGGAGAGGTAGGTGACCTGCCCCTGCTGAGCCCGACGGAGCCTCTCGCTGCAGCTACGGGAGCCGGGTGGGGCCCTGCAGCCATCCCGGAGCCCCTGCCTTCATCCAGGGCTGGGCCTCCCCTCTGGCAATTGCTCTGCCGCCTGCGGACACCTGCGTGCAGACTATCCTGTATAATTAAACCCTAATATGCAAACGAAGGACTGGCCCCTATGGCGCGCACTGACCACCAGGGGGCAGACGCTCGGTGCGCGAGCTGCCCTTCAATGCGGAGTTACTCCCTGGTGGTCAGTGCGCTCCGACAGGGGGAGCGCTGCTCAGCCAGAAGCCGGGCAGGCGGACATCCCCCAGGGGTCCCCACTGTAAGGGGAGCAGGCTTGGCTGAGGGATGCCCTCCCCCCCCTCCAGTGCATGAATGTCAGGCATCGGACCTCTAGTAGTTAATAAAGAGGGAACCGCCCGATCCTGGCCTGGGTGCCACCACTTCTTAGAATGGACTTTGAGCGCTAACCGGCCACATCAGCAAAGAAGCTGGAAACAGCACACGCAAAATCTTCCAGGCCTTTGTCTTAAAGAAACGTCGCTCCCGCTCTGAGTTCTTAAACTTGCCCAGTAGCCCCTGTACGGCAGGGCCGATGAGACAGGGGGCACCCCTCCCTAAATTCTGTGGATGAAAAAAGTAATCTCGCAGGGTGCTCTGATCATAAATTCCAAACTGGGCGGTCATGGTGGGTAGTCTCATCCCAGGCATATGATGTTTTTGTAAAATTAAATTTGCTTTAAGCAAGCGCTGTCCATTGTTTCTGTGCACATAGATTATTACCTTTGTGATAAGCTTTGCCCCCAGCGAGAGAGCACATAATCTTAACTATTAGGTAGTCCAATCCCCGCCTTGCTTTCTCTCATCTGCATGAAGGTTCCCTCCTTAATTTCAAATGCATAAAAGCTGTTATTCTCGCTGAAACCGGTTTGGCTCAGTGGATTGAGCGTTGGCCTGCGGACTGAAAGGTCCCGGGTTCGATTCCCGTCAAGGGCATGTACCTGGGTTGCGGCACATCCCCAGTAGGAGGTGTGCAGGAGGCGGCTGGTCAATGTTTCTCTCCCATCGATGTTTCTAACTCTCTATCTCTCTCTCCCTTCCTCTCTGTAAAAAAATCAATAAAATATATTAAAAAAAAAAAGCTGTTATTCTCTGGAGCGTTTCAGATCTTGCCTCCCAGAACAGATCAGCAGTTTGGCTCAGATAAACTCTTAGAAAAATTCTCTACAGGTTTGGATGTTTCTTACGTTGACACCACCAGAAGGAATTGCTGAGGCTAAATTTTCTTTGTTGGATTTTTAGTATTTTCCCAGATTATCTACAATGAACATATGTTTTGTAATTAGGGTTGGGAGCGGGGGTGGGGGAGTAAATGTTTTTTTTAAAAGTTCTAATTTCTCACCAAAACCGGTTTGGCTCAGTGTATAGAGCGTCGGCCTGCGGACTGAAAGGTCCCGGGTTCGATTCCGGTCAAGGGCATGTACCTGGGTTGCGGGTACATCCCCAGTGGGAGATGTGCAGGAGGCAGCTGGTCGATGTTTCTCTCTCATCTATGTTTCTGACTCTATCTCTCTCCCTTCCTCTCTGTAAAAAATCAATAAAATATATTTTTTAAAAAAGTTCTAATTTCTCAATGTGTGATCAAAGATAGCTCAAGCACAGGATCACGATGCTGAGTTATGGGCTGGGGGAGAATTGAAAGGGGAGGAAAAGAAAGGCTGGGATTGCTGGGGGCTGGGCTCCATGGGGCGGTGAGGATCCTGGGGTGGGGGGTGCCGGCTGCCAGCTCCAGGTGGGCTAATGGGAAGTCCCAGGCCTAGGCTGCCAGGGCTACAGACACTTCGCTGAAGCCAGGTGAGAGGGGGAGGAGCCTCAGGACACAGGACGCCACACCTTCCTGTCCATCCCACACTCTGGTAATTATAACTGGGGCTTCCCATGAGGGGGCTCAGTGACTGCCTACTGCAGGGCCAGGGCAGCCCCAGCCCCCTGTCTAGGAGGCAGTAGGATCTGCAGCCAGATTTGCTCCTTCCGGGGGAGGTGGGTGCTTCCCAGGAAGGGGAGTTCCGGGTCATGACGGCAGGAGCAAGCTGGGCAGCCCCCCTCTGCTCCCTTGTTTCCGGGTTTCCGACCCACAAGAAGAGGCTTGGATGCGGGATCCTCTCCCTTCACTCTGCAGGCAGGGCAGCAGATGGTTCTTAGGAACCTCCTGTAACTGCGAGAGCAGGGACACCTCTGCTGACCTTCAAGGCCCCCCCCCCACCCAGGGCTCACCCCGGGGGAATAATCTTAGGGGTGGAGGGCGTCGTTCAGGGGGTCCCTTTCCCTGACATCTCAGTGTGTCGGCAGGCCTTGGGGATACAGCAGTGACCAAGGTGGTCCTGCCGCCTCAGAGTTCAGTCCGATAGGGGAAGAGGACAAGTGAAAAGACAAATGAAGAGGTCCTGGCCACGCATTGACAGGTGCGGTGAGGGGGGCCCAGGAGGCATCCCCCCTGCGTGGTGGTGTGGGTTTTCCAGGGGAGATGGAAGCCGTGGAACAGTGTGAGAGAGGCCCACGCCCTGGCATCAGGAAGATCTGGGCTGCGGTCCAGCCCAGTGACTTGACCTCCGTGCAATCCTTTTGACCTTTTCTCCCAGTCACAAGATGCCTGCCAGAGCGGGAAGCATTGTTTTCTGTGGTCTCTTCGAGGAAAAACACCAAAGGGTTTGATTTATTAATAAACATTTGGAATTTGTGAAAATAAAAAAATATATTTTATTGACATTTTTACAGAGAGGAAGGGAGAGGGACAGAGAGCTAGAAACATCGATGAGAGAGAAACATCAATCAGCTGCCTCCTACCCCCCCCCCCGTCCCCCCCCGCCCCCAGGGATGTGCCTGCAACCAAGGTACATGCCCTTGACCGGAATTGAACCTGGGACCTTTCAGTCCGCAGGCCGAGGCTCTATCCACTGAGCCAAACTGGTTGCGGCTGGAATTTATGTTTTTTAAAGGTAATACTGGCACCTGGTAAAAATTCAAGTACAAAAGTATATACACAGCACATAAGGTCTGCTTACCCTTTCCCCAGCCCCTCCCCAGGAACAACCATCCTCGAAAGTTCCCATTTTCTAAAGATAATCTCTGCATCTTCAAATGTGCTAACATGTTTCAAAAGAGACAGGGACCCTTTGAGTTATGTCAAAGTGCAGAAACTAATGACTTAGGTATTTTTTAAAAAATTGATTTCAGAAAGGAAGGGAGAGGGAGTGAGATGGAAACATCAATGATGAGGAAGAATCATTGATCGGCTGCCACCTGCACACCCCCTACGGGGGATGGAGCCCACAATCTGGGCATGTGCCCTTGACTGGAATACAACCTGGGACCCTTCACTCTGCAGGCCGACGCTCTGTCCACGGGGCCAAACCAGCTAGGGCTAATGATTTAGTTTTTAAATATTTTTTATTGATTTTTTTAGAGAGAGAGGAAGGGAGAGGGAGAAAGAGAAACGTCCATGCGAGAGCAGGGCATCTATTGGCTGCCTCCTGCATGCCCCTTCCAGGGATCGAGCCTGAAATCCACGCAGGTGCCCTGACAGAGAATTGAACTAGCAACCTTTTGGTGCTCAGGACGATGCCCAACCAATTGAATTTTTCTACAGGCGTTTATGTACAATTACTTGTGTATCTGTTCTATTGGAATTAGAGATATCTCCAGGCATCAAAGTGACTCCTGGTTATTTATCTTTCTTATACAAATAAAAACATAGGAGATATATTTATACACACACACACACACACACACACATACATACACACACTGTTCTCTACACTTTTTTAAATAGCAAACAATATCCTATAGGTTGTTCCAACCAGCACAGAAAGACCCACCTCACTCTTTTTGACAATTTGAGATCCTAGAAGTAGTAGTGTTGGGTCCAACAGAGGCTACAATCAATATTGCCAAACTGTCTTTAAAGAGTTTGCGTCAATTATGCCCGCCTGCCCTGGTGGAGAGGGTCTGTCGCCTCACACCAAGGCCAGTGTGGGTATTTTCTGGCTTCATCTCTTAATCTACTATGTGAAAATCGTAGTGTTTTACTTCTTATTTATGGATAAGTGTGAGCATACAGATGTATTTTTTAGCTTTATTGAAATATAATTGACACACAAAATTTAATGTATATATTTAATGTATCCATCTTAATGAGTTTTGCATTTCTTTTGACAACAGTTTCAACTGCTCCAATTCCTGCTTTAGTGCATATTGTATTAAAAACATATTTATTGCCATTGTAGGTTCTTGAGGGTGTGATTTAGCAAAACCTATTCAGAACTAAACTTTATTTGACCTTTGAGTCATCAAAGTGACTCCTGGTTATTTATCTTATACAAATAAAAACACAGAAGGTGTACACACACACACACACACTCGCTGTGGGGGAGGAAGAAATTTTCCTCTACAAGGTTCTTTCAGCTGGTTTAATAATGGGCATCAGATTAACAGGAGAAAATAACCAAATGTCTTTTGAGTTTGGTCCAGGTTCCCGCCCCACCCCCAACTATTGCCACTATTTCTACTTTCTATCATTTGCATACATATGTACCTCATACATGAGACCCCAAATGCATGAGATTCAGAAACAAAGGAAAAATGAGCATAGACAGTCCACGCTAGGGATGAGGTAAGGTGCCGTAGGGGCTTCAAGGTCTTTGCAGGATGATGGGAAGAGCAGATGCTTAACAAATAGAAGTTTGCCCTGTCCTACAAGCAGGCGGAGTTACCTCAATTTCTTATACACAAGCCCCCTAATTCAAGTCATAGGAAGTCAAGGGAGGAACACACGTTTCTCATGCGCTGGAGGCTTAAGTTGCCTTTAGCTCAAAACAATCTCTATACCTCAGAGGCACATCTTGGGGTGACTTGTTCTGAACCCCTACAATACATATACGTTCATATACATGGACAAACATACGTACATATATAAAAAAGAAACCTTAACTCCAATAACTGTGGTAAGTCTGGAAGCAACCTGAACACTCATATGAAAATGTTTCAATAAATTTTACTTTCCTTATGAATTGCTATTTTAAAAATGAGTGATATTTGATGGGATTGTCAACTCAGCCTCTGTGAGAACAAGTTGTCACTATCAGTCGAAACGAAATTTCAACACGCCCTTTATTTTTTTTATGAGAGCTCTTTATTTTGTTGTTAATCCTCACCCGAGGACATTTTAAATTGATTTTTAGAGAGAGTGAAAGGGAGGGAGAGAGACACAGAGAGAAACATAGATGTGCATTGGTTATCTCCCACACACGCAAGTGGAACCCGCGATGGGGTCTGCAATCGAACACGGAATTGACTGGCTATGTGCCCACGGGCCCACGCTCTATCCACTGGGCAAACTGGCCAGGACTTCACCCGCCTCTTAACAAGTTACTCCACTTCTACAAATGTATCCTCGTGCATATGCATCAAAAAGCATTGCTAAGTATTAAAAAGTGGAAGCCTCGCGCTCCGCCAGGTCCTCTGGCCCCAACCCCGCTCTAGGGGTCCTCACCGCCGCAGCTCCGGCCTCCCAGCTGGACCTTGTTTCCCAGCTCCGCCTTCCAAGACTCGCGATCTGCTCCCTGGCCTCAGCCAGCCTTTCGGTTCAGGCCCGGCCTAACCCCGGCTTGGGCCACATTACCGCCCCGGCTCCGCTCTCCGGCCTCTTGTCACAGCTCCAGTCACGCCTTCCGGGCGTGGTTCCCACCTCGCCCCGCCCCCGACTATCGTCACCGCCCTAACCACGTCTTCCGGATTGGTCCCCGCCCCCGACCATCATCACCGCCCTGACCACGCCTTCCGGATTGGTCCCCGCCCCCGCCCATCGTCACCGCCCTAACCACGCCCCCTTACGTCATCGCGGCCCAGCCTCGCAGTCCAGCTTACTTCTGGTTTGAAATTGAAGGCTCTTTGGCGGCCGGGGCAGATCTCCGCCAGGGACTCCCCCGCGTTCGCTCAGAAGGAAAGCTAACACTCTCCACCGGCTACCGGAGCCGTGGCTACCTCCCAGCTGGCACCCCACTCCCCCGCCTCCGGGGGCGCCCCCGGGGCGAGTCCCGGAGTTCCCTTACCCCGAAGGGTAAATGCGAGTCGGCGAGGTCATGGCCACCCTTTCGGACCTGCCGGACTCGGTCATATTGGAGATCTTCTCTTACCTCCCGGTGCGGGACCGGATTCGCCTCTCCAGGTGCGGCCTCGCCCCGGGGACGGCGA